CGCCCGGCAGCCGTACAAATGGAGGAGAATCCATCATGGAAATTATAATGGTACAAATTTACTACAGAAGGACAAGATAATGAATGATCACTCCTCGCAGCTCCAGCARAAGAATGGGATGGCCGACACATGGATTCGCTATACTCTATCAGGCAGGCAATCCTGAAAGAAGAGGCGGAGACCAGTATTGACAACTGATGACAATCCCACCCTTTCAAAGCCCTAGATGAGAAATGCTCGATCGACCCTAACACCGTTTCAAAAGGAGATAGTCCCAACAGGTGACAGATGGCCTTTCTTCACACACACACAATCAGATATCCCACCCTGCAACCCCTCTGTGCCCCCCCACCCCCCCACAAAAGGAGATAGTCCCAACCCCCCTGTCAAAGCCTGAGAAAAAAACCAAGCACATTCGCAGTCAGATATTGCATACTACAAGTTGAACCCCCTGTCAACGCTCCTCCTTGCCCCAGCACTTCCTCCGCTACCCTCCATCCACCCCCTACCCCTCAGCTTTGTTTTCCAAACGTTTTTCACACTTTTTTTTTTTTTATTATTATTATTATTATATCCTACCCCTTAAGCCGCATTGGCCGCGGGGCAGGGATGGATGGTTCGCTGCGCGCCGGACAGGGATCGACATAACGGGCGGCACAGATTCACACAGAGGTGTAGGATTATCGGAATGTTACACTTTTTTTTTTCTTTTTTTTTTTTTGTTACACTTTTGCGATCAACGAGGGCACACTATTTTCCTGTAGATCAGCCGCACGTCCGACGACGGCCGTGGATCGGAAACAATATCTTGCAACGGCCATCGTCGGATAGCTGGAGTACATACCGAGGGGAGAAAAGTGCGAAGGAGAATGAATCTTCCGCTGGAACATGGAAAGTTACATCGCCATATTTTTTGTCTGTTGTGCAAGTCGTGAAAGAATGGATGGAAGGACACACCGCCATACTTTTTGGACCTTTTTGTCACTTTCTCTTCGCTGTCGGGTTGTTTGTCATGTCCTCCTTTTTTTTTTTTTTTTTTTTTTCTGAGAACTGGCGTCTGCTAGCGGTTTTGGCGGCATCATGGTGGTCTCTCTCTCTCTCTCTCTCTCTCTCTCTCTCTCTCTCTCTCTCTCTCTCTCTCTCTCTCTCTCTCTCTCTCTCTCT